TTTGAAACTTACCAGTAGCTGCTGCATTTCCCACCCTTGGTTCATACTCGAGTCAATAAGTTTTCCCAGGTTTTTTTTTTTTTTTGGTGGTAAAATTTGGTGCCTTGGCTTATATTCGGGTGGGCTTATACTTGAGTATATACGGGTACCTTTCAATCATCAAACTTCTAGCATTTCACAGAGAAAGGGAGGAAGGGAAAAAGGAAAGGAGGGAGAATTGTTCACAAATAGATCTCTCTGTCTGCTTCTTTCTCATTCCCATGTGAACTTGGTCCACCCCATTACTTTGGATCTCTGAACTGTATTTCTAAATGGTTAACTGAAGTTTTCAAGTTACTGCAATTCTAGATTGTTGGGGACTCAAATAAAATGCCCTCCTCATCTCTCACAATCTGTCGTTATGCCCGGTGTTTATTCTTGCTCCCTTCTTCTGGATATGTCTATTTTCTTTATACTTGCTCTGCTTTGTTTATTTTTTCCACGTCCATAATGGTCCAGATGATGGTGTCCTTTTTATTTTATTTTGAGATGGGAGAATTTTTTGAGGGCAGGGTGAATAAAGCTGTGGATAATCTGCTATACTTGAGAATTTCATCGTCCAAACCTCAACAGCAGAAAACCAAGTTGTGTGTGTAGAGATGTTGATGTGGACTTCTTCTAAACTTCTGCTTTCTAGCTACTGAAACCACTATTGATGTTTGCCCTGCCCTCCTTGATGTTCTTTCCCACTACTTTGGTGCTCCATACAAGTCCTACATGAAGACAATTGCTCCATTTGCAACAACTCCTCTGTTGAAGAAAGCAGCATCTAAGATAAAGCTATGTGTGGTTCGACTTTCACCTCGGTTGGAAGCAGCACATTTCAAACTGTTTGTAAGTCAACTTTTTGTTGGGAAATAGTTGAAAGTAATCCCCCAGACACATAGTGGCAGTAGTGGCCTTCTATGGAGCTCATTGCATGTGTGTTGGGGTGCACACTGGTGCCTTGTTAATAGCATTGTCATCTCAAAACAGTAGCATTCCAGGCCCCAGCACCCGCTCCTGTTGTTTAGTTGTACTTTTCAATGTATGGAGGAAATCTATGAATACCCTCCTGAAAGCACTTTGTTCCAACACTCACATTTGTCCAGTAAGTCATTAGCACTGCTTCAGTGAGATTGGGTAAATCTTGCTGCAGTAGCAGCCATATCTCTTCTTCACTCCAATTCCCAAGCTGTGGCCATTTAACTTCCAGTGACCAGACAGTGAGAACTTCCAGCTGTAAGTAAATATTTTATTTTCTTGACTCCACTAATTCTTAAGATTTTTGTTCATTTCTTTAATTGAACTGCAGGTCTACTTTGTCACTGTCATGATTTTCTATTTCTGCATCAAGCATTGCCTTCACAGAGCAGCATGGTGTGTGTGTTGGTTTTTTACCAATGTAATGCAGTATGCAGCCCAGAAGTGTATTTACTTTAACCCAGATTTTAAAGGAGCTATACAAAGAGGAGATTAATCCTATTTATAAAATCTGTTGAGAACCTTGACTTGCTTTTGAAGTTCATGCTAAAACCCAGAGTGTATTCACCAGTTGCCATTACTGCCATGAGACAACTAAAAGTCAATGTGCCTATCCACATTGACCCCATCAATCAGATACTAGGTATGTCTGAAGCAGCCAGGACATGACATTTACTTCACATGAGGGAAACACATAGGAGTGAATTCAGACATCATCATCCATGGTCATAGATCTCCTGCTGTAGCAGCTTGGAGACATGAGACACTCACTGCCACCCCCATTTCTTCTTTCTTCTACAGCACCAGAACCATTTTATCCTAAAGGGCTTCAAGTCCTCAAAAACAAGGTGGAATGCATTGATGGGGGAGAGGGAAAATTCCTGAAAAGTCCTCTACACCAAATTCTGTTCCTGAGAGATTTTTACAAATGGGATTGAGAAAATCCATTAAGTTTCAGTAGTTTAAGTTGCCTGCATAAACCCAATCCCAACTATTCCCGAAGCTGATCTGTGGGTCCAGGAGGTTATGCGTGCCCTGTAAATTTCCTTATCAGAGCTTATACATGATGGAGGCAATTGTCCTTCTCTCATTTTGAGGCAGAATCTGGAGATATCAGCTTGACATCTATTGTTTTGTTTTTGTTTTTGTTTTTTTGTCATGTCAGGAGCGACCTGAGAAACTGCAAGTCGCTTCTGGTGTGAGAAAATTGGCCGCCTGCAAGGATGTTGCCCAGGGGATGCCCAGATGTTTTGACATGCCTATAATGGGAATGCCTATAATGACATCTATTGTACAATATAGGCATTCCCAAGTGGAAAAATGAGAGATGGCAGTAATGGTAATCATGTTAAGAAATGCTTGGTATGCATCCGATATTTTTTCTTGGCTGAATGTACACTGTTTTAAGATGGGATGCATACTGTTCCCATCACACCCAAATACTCAATTCTTACCTTCAGAAAATACTGAGCTTTGACACATCACACTATGGAAGGCTAGCTCCTCCCCATCCATTTGAAAGACTCCCTTTGTCACTCTGTGACCTTTTTTTTAAAAAAGAAATCTTTCCCTAAGATTGCGCAGTGGCATAGCCTCTAAGTCTCAAACTACCACTCTTGCAAGACTAGGTTCACCTAGTGCAGTGGTTCTCAACCTGGGGTCCCCAGATGTTTTTGGCCTACAACTCCCAGAAATCCCAGCCAGTTTACCAGCTGTTAGGATTTCTGGGAGTTGAAGGCCAAAAACATCTGGGGACCCCAGGTTGAGAACCACTAACCTAGTGGCTTCCTTTTTGTGTGAAACAATAGATCTCTTGCTGATGTTGCTTCATTTAGTAATTCAATTTTATGAGGCTGAACTTGAGGTGATTGAGGTAATTAAGAAGCAATAGAAACTTTTATCAGCATTGCTTCTCCATTTGAGAAGTCATAAAAGATACTACTTGGAAGTTTTTGCTGGTTATATGACTGATGCAAATGGTGCCCTTACATGGTAAAGGACCACCCCAGAGCCAAGGCAATGCTAACTGAAGAAGGAATTTGGGAGATTTTGTAGCAATATAGCTGATTAACAAAAAGAAACAATGATATCTGTATTAAAACATTTTTATTACATTGCCAAGTTTTTCTGTGATATAAAAAGACAAGTGTACAGCTGAACTAATCTTTTACTTATGCTATTATTATTATTATTATTATTATTATTATTATTATTATTATTATACAGTGAACAACAAAGTCTGCAAACATTCAATGTCAAGAAAATACATAAACAAATAAACATAAACATATGTAAATAACCCACCTAAAACCCTTGCAGATCCATATTTAAACCAAAAATAAGACTCAAAACATAACATGTAACATTTACACACTAACATTCTGATATACATACAAATACAATGAAGGGAAGAACTTGCACAGATTCTGGTTAGAGAGAGAGAGAGAGAGAGAGAGAGAGAGAAAGTGGCAGTGGCAGTGGCAGTGGCAGTGGCTGATTTCCTGAATCCTGGAGATCTTTTCTCTTTGGCATCCGAAACAGAAATGGCTGCTGCTTCCATCAAAAAAATTCTGGGGTCATTAGATCCCCACCCCAGACATGCTTCCCAATGACAATTCATATCATTGCTGACAGGATGCATCCTGATTTTCTTATAGCACTTCAGCAATGGAAGAATCTGTAGTATTTCCAAAGACACGATTGGAATCCCATATGCAAATAACCATTTCTGCTATATTTCGCAGACATATTCTGATGGATTACTGACAGGATGGGGAGAATATCACGTGATGGGACCCATTCTGCCCAACACATGGGCATGGCCCATGTCAAAAACTTAAGAATTGAAATGTACCCAATAGTTTTTCATTTGAATTTTGTAAACCTTGGAAGCCTCCCAAAGTCAGTTTCATTTTCAGCACAAATAAGCAAAGCAAAGCCAAGAAGACTGCAATTCCTCTTTAAATTAATGGCCTCTCACCAGTAGGAGAGGGAAACAACAGGAGAAAGCGGAGAAAGCACAGAATTCTGGGAAATGTAGTTTGGGAAGATGAGGAGCCCTATGCCAGAGAATTCAGAAGGCCCTTCCCTAAATTACATTTTCCAGAATTCTGCTCAGCAGAAAGCCCCTATTAGGACAGGGGAGAGCTTTGTCCCTCTATGACAACAGCCAGCCAGAGCTCCAATAAATTGTTGAATCTGCCAAAAGGAGGACTTACTGATACTTCTAGTAAGTAAATATCTGTGCTGGGTTAGGAATAAATCCCTAAATGGAAGTTCTATTGGTTAATATGAGAGACATTCAATGAGATAACTGTTGTGGCTTTAAAAAAATGTTTTTGTTAAATCCCTAAAACCAGTAGATGTACGAATATTTCTGATCCCCTGTTATCTTGTGTCATTGTATAGAAAATTGAAGGAAATAACTCAGGTTCTTTTTAATATATACATACATATATATATATATATATATATATATATATGTTTATAAAAACTTTGAAAATTCACCAAATATTCATGGAGAAGTGAAACGTTCTGAAACTTTATGGGCTAACAGTGATAAATGGATTCTACCAATGTAACAAGTTACCCCATAATAGCTGTAAAAATGCAGGAGAGAGGAGATCTTGAAGTTTCCCCACTTGCAGAATTACTATAAGAAAAAAGTAACGAAATTTCATTACTCACATTATAGTAACAGAATTTCCACTAACAATACTTTAAAAACACTTTGGAAACAAAACCTCAGCAGCCCTAATTTTGTAATGAGTTTTGAAACATTTTTCATTGATCGCCTAATATTTATATATCATTTATCTCTGATCAAGGTAAATTATCTAGCAAGTTGTTTTGCAAAGGGAAAGCAGCAGCAACAACAACAGGAGCAGCAGCAACAACAACAGGAGCAGCAGCAGCAGCAACAGGAGCAACAGAAACAGGAGCAGCAGCAGCAACAACAGGAGCAGGAGCAGCAACAACAACAGGAGCAGCAGCAACAGGAGCAGCAGCAACAGCAGGAGCCACAACAGGAGCAGCAGCAGCAACAACAGGAGGAGCAGCAGCAACAACAGGAGCCGCAACAGGAGCCGCAACAGCAGGAGCAGCAGCAACAGGAGCAGCAGCAACAGGAGCAGCAGCAGCAACAACAGGAGCAGCAGCAACAGCAGGAGCCACAACAGCAGGAGCAGCAACAACAACAGGAGCAACAACAGGAGGAGCAGCAACAACAACAGGAGCAACAACAGGAGGAGCAGCAGCAACAACAGGAGCAACAACAGGAGCAGCAACAGGAGCAGGAGCAGCAACAACAACAGGAGCAGCAACAGGAGCAGGAGCAGCAGGAGCAACAAGAGCCGCAACAGCAACAACAACAACAGGAACAGCAACAGGAACCGGAACAGGAGCAGCAGCAGCAACAACAACAGGAGCCGCAACAGGAGCCGCAACAGGAGCAGCAGCAACAACAACAGGAGCCGCAACAGGAGCCGCAACAGGAGCAGCAGCAACAACAACAGGAGCAGCAGCAGCAACAGCAGGAGCCGCAACAGCAGGAGCCGCAACAGCAGGAGCCACAACAGCAGGAGCCGCAACAGCAGGAGCAGCAACAACAACAGGAGCAACAACAGGAGCAGCAACAGGAGCAGGAGCAGCAACAGGAGCAGGAGCAGCAACAGGAGCAACAAGAGCCGCAACAGCAACAACAACAACAGGAACAGCAACAGGAGCCAGAACAGGAGCAGCAGCAACAGCAGGAGCTGCAACAGCAGGAGCTGCAACAGCAGGAGCAGCAACAACAACAGGAGCAACAACAGGAGGAGCAGCAGCAACAACAGGAGCAACAACAGGAGGAGCAGCAGCAACAACAGGAGCAACAACAGGAGCAGCAACAGGAGCAGGAGCAGCAGGAGCAACAAGAGCCACAACAGCAACAACAACAACAGGAACAGCAACAGGAACCGGAACAGGAGCAGCAGCAACAACAGGAGCCGCAACAGGAGCCGCAACAGGAGCAGCAGCAACAACAACAGGAGGAACAACGACAGCAACAGGAGCAACAACAGGAGGAGCAGCAAAAACAGGAGTAGCATCAACAACAGGAGTGACAGCAACAATAGAAGCAGCAGCAGCAACAATAGCAACCACAATAAAGCTTTGAAGAATCCATCATTATGTTCTCAAGAATCAGAACCAGCTTCTTTGTTTCCCTTATTGATTTCTTAATAAATAAAATAATCTGTTGATTTCACATTTTATATTCTTCACAAGAGGTTTTTTTAATGTATTTGAAAAAGGAATTACAGTATTTGTCATTATAATTAAAAGCATCCCAGCTGCTATTCCCTGTTATATCTGGCATACAAAACAAAGTAATTCTTCATTGTGCATATATAAAAAAGTAATGAATATTTACTTTTCTTACCACATTGGGATATAGTCCATTTATATCAGTATGCTTCCTGCATTTTTTAATGACTGCATGAATACTGAATTCTGACAGGATGCATACCAATCCTATCACACCTGATTTGAACATACTGTGCTTTGACTCATCATACCACAAGTCTCAGAATATGGACTATACTACATGGGGATTTCTCTCCTCCCAGGGAAACACCCTTGCCGACAGATTAGCTGCCCGGGGGTTTCCCCACCTGACTGGGAGGGAATCCCCAGCCACATCATTGGAGTCTGCACCAATCTGGAAGGCAGCCTGCCTGAGCCCGCTCCTGACCAATTAGGAGTGCAGGCAGTGCCAGCCAGCTCCCAACACTCAGCCAATCTGGCACAAGGGAGGGAAAAATCTAATTTAGACAATGTTAACAAATGGAAACTTTACTATATAAAAATGGTTACATTTCACAATATGGTTATGCTTGTACTTTTGGATGCAAGCCTACTGCATCCATTCTTGGCCAAAACATTAACTAAAAGCCTCTGTTTCTGTCTTCGACCCTGGTGAATGTGTTTTACATCTGGTACTCTGATTGTCAGCATAAATGCTTGCCAGGGCAGACTCTCATTTAATTGCAGTCTAAATATGTTGGGACAACTAGTAAGATTCTCCCTATAGAATCACTTTAATATGTTAGCTAAAAACTTATGGGAGTGGTAGTCTAAAATAACATTTCTAAGTTTTACCATCTCTCAAATCCAGAACTCTCCTTTTTCAAATATGTCTGAGGGCCCATCCAGACAGTCCCTTTATTGCGGAAACTTCCGCAATAATGAGGGGGCTGTCCAGATGACGTTCTGACACAACCGGTAATTAATTTGCCACAAACCAGGAAAACCCTGGTTTGTGGTGAATTAATTAGATAGTGGATTTATTCTGCCCCTTCTTGGAAGGCGTGGGATAAATCCACTACTTCCAATGTCTGGACTGCAGTCCACACACCATTTGTTTCTGGTATTTCTACCCCGTCACTTCTCATAAGAAATATGGATAAACTAACATATATACTCTCTAAAAAAAGGGGCACCCTAACATCTGAAACAGATTGGAAAGACGTAACAACATATCTAGCTGAAGAAAAAAACATGGAAATATTCATATGAAAGAACCCGAAAGAAAAGACAAATAAGGGGAGAGCTGAAAAGCGACGAAAGAGGGAAAGTAAGAAGAGGAGAAGAATAAAGGAATAGGAAGAACCTCCTAAAGATACCGGGAAGTCAACGCCAGAACAGAACACATATACTCCACCCCTCCCCCTCCCTCACTCTTCTACCCACAACTCGTTCCCAACCTCTAGTTTTCTACACCCGACACATTATAGATAATAATATACATCCTGGTTGTAAATACTCATAAACCACATCTTTCTCTATCTCTTTCCAGGCTCGATAACCCTCTCCCCTACCCTTCCCATACTCCCCCCTACCCTCTCCTATCTTCCATATCAGTTATTTTTTTATTATATATTGCTTTTTTATGGAAAAACTAATAAAGATTATTTTAACACTTCTCTACCCCCGAAGGGGGACTCAAGACGGCTTACATTTAGTAGTGGTACAAAACTGCTACATAAGAATTACAATAGTAAAATCACAGTTAAATACAAATAGCAAACATTAAAACAGTAACTACAGCATTAGTGAAAACCATAAAACAATATCACAATATCCTCAGCCGTAACGTTAATCCAGTCCATATCCAGCTACAGTGCTCCTTATGTCTGTTTTCCGAAAGCCTGGTCCCAAAACCAGGATTTTAATTTCTTCCTGACAGCCAGGAGAGATGGGGTCGATTTTATCTCATTTGGGAGTGCGTTCCATAGGTGGGGGGCCACGGCCGAGAAGGCCCTGTCCCTCGTCCCCACCAGATGCATTTGCGATGTTGACAGAAGTGAGAGCAGGACCTCCCCAGATGATCTTAGATTACGAGGTGGGACAGAGCGGCAGATGTGTTTGGACAAGTAAGCTGGTCTATTCCCACAGTTTTCCTAAGTAAATTAGTCTGGAAAACTGTGGAAATCCCACCCCTCTCCCAAAGCTCCCAAAGCCCTTTTAAAAGTAAGGAAAACTTACCTGGCCTCCAATTACAGTGTTTCCAGAGCACTCCCGGCACATAGAAATGATTCACCAGGAGAGTGTGGAGGGAGGGAGCAATTTTCCTCCCCCTCCCCACCCCTGCTCTCCTGGCACATCATTTCTACATGCCGGGAGAGCTCCAACAACAGTGCAATGGAGGCTGGATAAGTTTTCCTTACTTTTAAAAGGGCTTTCGGGGAGGAGGGAGGGTCTCCAGATGTTCTCTCGGGCCAGTCCCAGAAGAACATCTGGACACCCACCACAGAAAGTGTGTGCTTTCTAGAGTGGGTATGGGTAGGGACCCAGGAACATCTGCGTTTTTTAAATGTGGATGCTCCCGGGATGAAGGGCTGTGTTGAAATGCTCTGAGACCAATATTAGTGTCCCAGGTTGCCTGGGATTTATGTTCCAAACATGAAGGAAGATACTTCTGAACCCATGAGACTTTTTTCTACTTTCTGTTATTCTTATGGGTATGTTTTTTTTTCCTGTTTGCTTTGGCTTTTTATATGACAAAATATAAAAGTAAAGAAACACAGAAACAAAAGAAACTCTGTAGTTTGGGGTTTATAGTTTGGTGAGCATCAGCACTCTTTGGCAGAACACGAAAAAAGCCTTGTAAATATAGGTGCCCTTCCACACAGCCCTACATCCCAGAATATCAAGGCAGAAAATCCCACATTTCCTGAGTGTGGGCTCAGATAATCCAATTCAAAGGAGATATTGTGGGATTTTCTGCCTTGATATTCTGGGATATAGGGCCGTGTGGATTCCATAGCATTGAGCTTCAAGGTAGCATATTCCACTACCCAACAGCAGTGTCAAGCTGCATCCATTTTACAATGCAGATGTATCTGTGTTTAGCCCTCCATAAAGGAAAGTCTCTTGGCTAGATATACCACAGTTTGGAAATATTACTTTCTGCACTATAGCTCTCAGAATTATAGGATTTAGGGCAGTGTAGAAAGACCCTGAGATGGATCAATCACCTGCCTCAGTGTAAGGAGGCTTCCTTTGTTCCCTGTTTTTCTGCTCCCTTGTTGGGTACTCTAGGGGCTCTTATACACAACACCTAAAATATGGAAGTTACTGGGATAAAAAGGGGGTGGCTAAATGACACCAGTGCTCATTCACATTAACAGAGGAAAATCACATGATAAAAGGGTCCCCTCACATCCCAATTTCAGCCAGAAAATGCACATATTTGCATGGCCATAACCCTGCAGTCATGCAAAACACATTATTTCCTTTTGTCCCTCCCTCCCTCTCCCCTGTGGAGGCTGCTCTAGCACATGTCCGCTTTGAAAAAAACCAAAACAGCTGATGCACTAATTGGGCTGTCAAACGGACACACAGCTAGTTTAAAAGAAGCACAAACTGAGCACTCTTAGAACTCTGAAATTCTTAATTTCACAGTTTATAATATTATACATAGCATGCATTAAGAATTTGGAAAAGAGAGAGATAAGAAATGTCCTTGCGTGCTATTCAGATATTTGTATGTGTGCATAAGAGGTTCAGCACAAAACGGTGTGATTTCTTTTTTTTAAAAAAAAACTTTCTGACGGATGTTCCCCATCCACCCTACATCTTGTTCCGCTACAGAGGAAGCCTGTGAGGATGGCGGAGCACTCAGTCCTAGGATTAACAGGTCTGTATGGAGACCTGCAGTCAGGTCCCAGGATGATTTAACCCCATTTTAAACCTGGATTTTGGCGCTGTCTGGAAGTGCCCTTGGTATCATTTCCCTTCTGATGCAATTATTTTCCTCATAAATTAAAATAATGTGGCAATGCTGCTACTTCCAACTGAGCCTCTGATCTTGTTTGGTGTAAAGAGAAAGGAGGAATTTCTCTTTACTACATCCCCTGTGGCAAGGCATAGGGGATGTTGAAGCAAACGAAGGAAAACAACCTTCACTTGAAAGCTGGTAGGTAACAAGAGGTATATCTACAGAATTAATGTATTTTGACACCACTTCAACTCAACGCTATCGAGTCATTGGAATTCTAGTTTTACAAGGTCTTTAGCCTTCTTTGCCAAAAGTGCTACTACCTTATGAACTACAAATCCCAGTATTCCATAGCATTGAGCCACAGCAGTTAAAGTGATGTCAAATGCATTGATTCTACAGTGTAAAAGCCTGGCTACATCCAGAACTTAGAAATTGTTTTGTTCTGAATTACAGCTCTCAGAACTCCTTAAGCGTTCAACAAGTTGCCACTCTTGCATTTTGGAAACTACAGTCTGAAAATGTAATATTTCAAATTCTGACTAAAACTAATGGAGGTTAGCTATTTTAAACAATTTATTGTGTTCTGGTGATGTGAAAAAAGAATCAGACAAAAACCAATTACATGCTCTTTTTGTTTATTAAGTAAACAGTAAGTGAAATGGAGAAAGCATTTGGAAGTTCCAGATTGCGATGAAAAATATTATTGTTTTTTTTTTTAAAGGAGAGAAAGGGCCCTTCTATATTTCAGGATCATGAAGATTAGTAAGAAGGAATCACATCCAGTTGCTACTTCAATGCACATCGTAGTCTTCAAAAATTCAGACCAGAGGAAGTTTTGGTATCTCTGCACACTTTGCCAGGATATTTTTCTGGAACGAAGAATATTGATAATTTGTGAGTTTCATTGTGTCAGTAAATGGGAAAGGCTGGACAAAGTCCCAGCTGGGATAGATCTGTCATATTTCACAATAAACACATTGTTGTGTAAATTGGGTACATATATTTATAGCAATCTGTTCTGATGGAAGACATTCTTTCTTGCATTCTGCTCTGGGGAATGTTTCATCCTACATTGGCCCATGGAGGTTAATGGTGAGTTTTTCTCACCCCAAAGTCAGATAAAAATATATTTTATTGTTTCCCCCCATTAGAAGTTCTAGCATTCACACATTTCTTTGCAAACACAATTTTAACATGGGAAAAAGAAAAATTATAAATCTGCCCATTTAGCTTAAGGGCTTTAAGTGGTTTCTTTACAAAACATTGTCCCCCGGATACCTCCTATGATTCTTGCCTTATTTAAAATAATTTTAATACTGTATTTTAATATTAACTTCATTATTGCATTTAAAATTTCAGTTATCCACTTCTGAACTCTTGGCTAATAGAAGCAATAAATAAATACTATCATTTCACATATGCCTTCTACCAACTTATTATAGAAATACATGTTTGAACAAAGTCCCCATGTCTAGGAGATTAATTTACGTCTGGCTTTGTTGGTTTCAAAAAGCAGTTGAAGCATTTTTTCCGACATGAACCAACAGGAGAGCCTGACATGTTTCTCCTATTAAAGAGTAACATGATGTCAGGGATAATGTTGGTTAGGGCCAACTAGAGGAGACCCAGTAGCTGAATGGTGAGACCCCATTGGCTGGATAGTTGTCATATATCATTGTTCTGTGCTTTTGCTGAGTCCTTTGCAAGAGATTTAAATTTTCAAAAAAGTTTTAGAATTTTTTCTGATGAATACATCAAATCAAGTCCTGCATTTTACTCTTAGGAAAGGGAAATGTGAAAGTTGTGTTTAATGGGTCATTACTCAAAGAACAAAGCAGACATGTTCCTTGTTACTCTAGAGAGCAGGGCTTGAATGAATACTTGGAAATCTCAGTTCTATGGGTGAATCTACCTTGTAGAATTAATGCAGCTTGACACCACGTTAACCACCATGGCTCAGTGCTATGAAATTGTAGCTTTAGAAGGTCTTTTGCCTTCTCTGCCAAAGAATGCTGGAGTTTCACCAAAGTCCCATGATACCATAGCACTGAGCCATAGCCATTAAAGAGTGTGTCAAACTACATTGTTTCTACTGCATAGGAAAGAGATTGGCTATTAGGAGACATTTCCTAATAGTAATTGATATTTATTTACTGTATTTATATACTGCCTTTCTCACCCCTTTGGGGGAGGGGGGGCTGAAGGCGGTTCACAACATATGGGAAACTGTATTCCTGACCACAAAAGGAAGTCTTTGCATCCCATATGATCATATAGCCTGTGAGAAGAGACTCCAAGCTGGGGATTTCTCAATCAGTTCCTGGTCTCACCCATATTATGGACATTATCTAGACATCTGTAACACAATAGCCCAGTGGACAGGAAGATGGCCCACTGCCTTTTTCCTGCCTGCCTCAGGGGAAGTTGCTACTCTTCACAATGCACCTTTGTGTGTGGGACCCCTCACCATGAAAGAAACCTGATTGTCTTCTTCTATGCCCATCTCCTCTGCAATTTGCATGAATGTGCCAATATGTCCTGCTTTTTGCTACCGTGATCCAGAACCACTGGGTCACCCCCACCCCCCACCACCCCCGGTGGGGTTCTGCCATGGCCATCCTGTACACAATAAACTTTCCTGGGTAGGGCCAAGTGCCCTCTATCATTTTTATTATTTTTCCTGTTAGATAAAGGGAAACCCATTCACTGCCACTCAATGCCTTTTGTCTCTTTACATGCCAACTGCTCAGCAAAGCCCCCTTTCTGTGATTGGTCAGAATTGGGAGAGTTGTCCAATGAGCTTTGCTACAGCTGATGTTGCTGCAGTGGGAAATTTTAAATTATTGTGTATAAAAGAGGCTGTATTTCTGTTTTCTGGCTATTCTAGCTACTTTGTGAATGTATCACAAGCTAGGATCTTATCTGCAGATAATAAAACCTTCCTTGGCTGAAATCACCCTTCTCACTTTGTTGCTGATTCTAATCAGGGCTGATCTGTATGTTTGCCACAGCAGGGATTCACAAGGGGCAGCTCAGACTTATCACTTGTCTGGGTTTCTGCCAACAGGATTCTTCTGGTCTCACTCTCAGAGGTTACCTTCTAAATTGGGACCAACAATGGGAACCGAACTGCTGTTGTTTATTAACTCTCCTTTGCTAGAAGATGAATGACCACCTAACACGAATGCTGTAATGCGTGAGCAGAAGTTTGGTGGAGCTCCAGATCTGTAAATCCGAAAACAGTGAATAGGGAAGTGTTGCCCTAGCACATGTGTGGTGAGGTGACTGTGAAAAGAATTACCAGCACTTCCTTTCTTGCCAGCAGCTCTTGCTCTAGAGCTTCAAGGGCACATTGTTTCATCCGTGAAGCTGCTTCAGTCATATCAGCGCTGGTTGAAAAAGGAGCAATCACTTTCAAGTAGTCCTCCGATGGGCCATCAAGGAACTTGGTGAAGATGTCACTGAGATGACAATCCTCTACAGCAGTATCTGGAATGCAAGGGTTCAAAATAAGAGGTCATTATTGTTGTGTTTCTTCAAATCAAGTCTAAATTAAGCTAAATGAAATGTGAGATTGCCTTAGCCAGAAGAGGTTTCCCAGTCCTGATACAACACACAAACCACTAGATCACACCGACTTTCATGTGTGAGTTTGTGGGTGGCGATTTAGTTATACCACGAGGAAGCACTTATTAGGGGGAATATCCTGCCGCAAAGCCAAGATGTTGCAAACCACCATTCTTCTTTACAAAACCCTCAGAGGCTACACATAAACCTGAGCAAATGATATGACTGCTCTGGTCTTCTTTTGTCTGAATGTAATGGAATTATTCACAGTATTAAACCCTGTCTCTATAAAGGATTCTGCACATTGCATAATCTTTTAAAAATAGAATAAAAATCCAGAATGAATCCACCTGGCACCTAACATGGTAGTTACTAGTGACCACTATATGCATATTTACTCACAAATAAATTCCACTCAATTCAAAGGATATTACTCTCAGGCCCAATATGCTTGATAAAATAGAAGGCAATAGGGAAAGTACACATTATGGTGGGAAGCCTCAAAAAGGTACAAACCTGAGTTTGGAGTGCTGAGCAGGGCTATTTAAAAAGAGAACATAAAGATTCCTCATTCATTTGGGTGTCTTCAACCACCTTTAAGGCAATTCTATGTCCAATGTTTTCTTGGCAAGATTTGTTCAGGGGGAGTTTGCCTTTTCTTTCCTCTGTGACTTGCCCAAAGTCACCCAGTAGGTTTTCAAGTCAAACAGGGATTTGAATCTTAGCCCCAGATGCATAGCCCTATACTCAGACCACTATATCACACTGACTCAATTGAAGACCAATTGACTGCAGTTAACAACAGTACCATAGTCTGCATTGTATTATAACCATAAATTTAAAATTTATAACATTTAGGCAAAGATTAATTTGATAATTTTATAAGTAACACAATTGTATTCCCATTTCTCACTTCCTTCCCCAAGAGATATTTAGAGCAGGTGCCAAAGTCCCAAATTGCAATCTTACCTACCTGCCGTCATGAACGTGGATTGCATTTGTGGATATTTCAGGCTTCTTTATGACTTCAAAATCGCCTTTAAAAAAACTGGAATCTGGTTTTAGCAGAGATTTGCCAGAAAACAATATTGAAGGCAACTTGTGTAACTACATCACTCAAGCTAAAAAGGTTTGAGGCCATGCACTAACTACACCATAGAGAAGACCTCCATTTTCATGCTAGATCTTCACCATTGTCAAGCTGTGAAACATGTAAATCTTGTCCATCTATAATACTAACCACGTGATATTTCCAAATATAATGTAGTAGGCAACTCACCTGAATAGCAGCACACCATTAGGGTGATGAGCAGAAAGACAACTGTCAGCTTCATGGTGGAGATGATCTGTAGTGGACCTGCTTTTCAGATTTCACTGACTAAGGTTTGCTATATATATAGGAGGGTGCTTGTGATGTTCCACCCAATTGAGTCTATGTTGGCTCACTTTGTTGCATAAATCTTCTGAAATCTAATCTGTATTTTTGTTGTGCTTCCTGTGAAATGGCTCTCAAGACAGAAAAGAAAACATATATGACTATGTCCTTTTATTCTTGTTTCCTTAAGAATGGAGTGGCCAAAAGAATTTAGACTCAGTGTTATCTCTTTGCAACATAATCTGCAAACAAAGGAAGTAATATGTCCTCTCAGCTGCACTTGATTGCTGTCTCCTTGGGCCACACAAATTGTAATGTAACTTAGAGTTTGACAAGACTTGTCAAGCCCTCTTCGTTTTGGTCTACAGGGAAACAAGTGATACTGCAGGGTATAACCTTCAGGATAACGCAAGAGATTCCAAGATTATGGATAGGAAGCTGAAGAACTTGGATGCACTGGCTGTCATTTTGCCTCTCTTCCCAGTTAAAGGACATGGTCAAGAAAGGAGATAAGAATGGTGGAGGTGAACAAGTGGCTCTGCAAATGGTACTGCTGGGGACAATTTCACTTCATGCACTTTCAAAAAGATAGATTGCTGGAAAGTAATAGATTGTACCTTATGGCCATTAGCAGAAACCTTTTTGCTAAAAGTCTCACAAACTAGATCAGAATAGCTTTAAACTGAGTTATTGAGGGGAGGCAGTATTCTTGGTGGCAGGAGTTCATCAAATGCTAGAGGTATCACAGAGAAAAATAGTTGAGTAGTACAAGAACCCAACAGTACTACTCCTATGCAGCTAGGAGGAATGGCCCGTGATATTAGATGTCTCAATACTAAGCACAGAGCATGGGAAATAAACAAAATTAATTTGAACTCTTCAGTGTGGCTTGTAGGTCTGTAATAGACTGGCACAATGATATTCATTTTCTCTTAATTTTGTACCCGGGTGTGCATGAAGTCATGGATCTCTTTGAAGGTGTTAACATCCTTGACAAATAATGCTATTACTGCTCCTTTCCTGTTTGAGCTATTTATCAGAAAGAGGTTATATTCATCTATTATTACATTCCAATTATGCAGCTCATCCTACCAGATTTTCATGATGCTTATTATATCCAATTTACTTTGTATGAAGAGTTCATTTTGTTTTGTTTCCCATGCTCTGTGCATTTGTGCAGAGATCCCAAATATGTGGACCATTCCTCCTAACAGCTTATTTAAGGTCCCCCTCTCCACCTCCCAATGTTGTTACTATTTGTAGCTCCCGATGAACTCCTGCCTTCAAGAATACTGTCACACAGTCATGGGACAAAGGAGAACTTTCTTGAAATGCATTTTCCCTCTATTGTTACAATTGAGTTTGCATTTAGCACAAACATCATCTAGCCAACCCCCTCCCCTTTTAACCCATTCTCTCTCAAATTATAAGCTGTGGGGAAGCGTCCCCCCCCCCCCTCCGGTTATTAATTTCCATTCTTCTTTTCTCCCTTTCTGGGGCATGTACTTCAACTAGGGAAAACACAGTACATTTAGAATCACACACCATAAAGTTAGATGGGGTCCCATAGGCCAGCAAGTTCAACCCCCTGCGCAATGCAAGAACAGAAGCTTGAGTATCCTCAGCAAGTAGCCATTTTTCAAAAGACCTCCAGAGAGAGAGGCCCCATCTACACTTCCATATAAAATCCAGATTATCTGCTTTGAACTGGATTATATTAGTCTACACTGCCAGAGACTCTTCCACCTCTTTAGGGAATTGGTTCCATTGCTGAATGGTTTTTACTATGAAGAAGTTAAACCACCACACCACACTGGCTCTTTCAACTGAAATTTTCTCTCCTGTAGTTTAATTCTGCAACAGTAGAGAATAGACCTGTACCCTCTTCTCTCTGGCAGTCCTTTATATATTTAAAGAATGCAATCGTGTCACCCCTCTATCCAAATCGACCCATCTACACCACCATATAATCCAGTTTTTGAATCCAGATTATCTGCTTTAAACTGGATTAGATGCCACTGTAGACTCATATAACCCAGTTCAAAGCAGATAATCTGGATTCAGAAATTGGATTATGTTATATGGCAGTGTAGATCCAGCCTTAAGATTCATCTGTACCAGGCCTGCATAACATACATATGTAGGCTGCATGCTGTCCATAAAAAGCCATTGGCAGGTCCGTAGCCAGGATTTTGTTTCGGGGGGGGGGGGGGGGGGGGGGGGGGGGCTGAGTCTGAGTAAAAGAGGGTCTACCCTAGCAAACCTTTTGTTTCGTTACCCCAATACCCCCATGCATATGAGATATATTGAGCATGATGATCAGATCATGATATGATTAAACATAACAGTTTAAATAATGCACCAGTAAGGCCTTCTCGCAGACCACCTTGAGAATTTGGGGGGGGGGCTGAAGCCCCCCCCGGCTACATGCCTGGCCATTGGTATAAATGTTGACAAGAAAACTCTGTGATAGGGTCACCTTAGGGTTGCCCTAAACCTGGAAAGACTTGAAGGCACACAAAAACAACAATTCTAATTCATTATACCTTACTCAGAAAGTGAGGTATTTAAAACCGATTTGTGGCTCCAAGAGGCATAGCCTATCCAATTTTAGCCCCTTACTACTCATATGCTGTGCAGACCTGATCTACCCTGTAGAATTATTGCAGCTTAACACCACTTTAATTGTCATGGCCCAATACTATGGACTTATAGCAGTTGTTGTTTGGTCAAACACCAGCACTCTTTGGCAGAGAAGGCAACTACTATGATACCACATCATTGAACCATAGTAGTTAAAGTGGTGTCCAACTGCATTAATTCTACAGTATAGATGTATTCTTAAGCCCCATCTACACTTCAAACTGTAACAGCTAGACAACAAACTCCCACAACAGTGTGCAAAATAAACCCCTTAATGTGCACCAGTGTCCCGTGGTTTGTGTTTCAAACAGTCCTCAGGATTTCTTATGGAATCATCTGCACAATGAAACCACTTTCTTCAATGCTGGTTTGAAACCATTAAATGGTAAGCGAAAATTGGGTCTTAGACTGAAAATCCCCCAATCTTTCCTCATTTGTTTTGTTTTCCATATTTCTTATCATTCTCTGAATCCACTACACCTTGTCTGTATCCTACTCATAACTTTTACATTTTTATTTTTAAAGGATTGATTGAAATATACGCTCTGTTCCTTTGAAGATTGCCATCATTCAGAGAGTAATATCCAAGCTATGTTTCCCAGCCTTCACTTGAAATTTGAAGCATCTTATATCTCTACTACCTGTTTTTAGTTTTGTGTTTTTGAAGCTCACTATTTGCATGAAACTCACAGGGAATGTAGAGCAGCTGTTTGTAAAGATTTTCCCCACCTGCATATTTTACATGAATGCACACAGAGAACAAGCAATGGGATTATACCAATTATAGAACTAATAAATAATAATGCTACCAGTTTGCTTTTATATACTTTATCCTCTCTCTGCTCTCTTTCCTAACATCTTTCCTATAAGAAAAAAGCTCCAAGACTGGTTGGAGATCATGCCTAAGCTAGGCACAGGCAAAACACCAGTTTCCTGAAATACAAACAAGCTTTCAATTTTATGGATTTCTTTTCCATCTGCTTTGTCTGTCTCCGATTCATTTGCCTTCCACCATTTTTTTAAAAAAAGAGTACCGAGTAGCCTTTAATGGAACTGACCATCAAAGCATTTTTTTTCAGTTCTGATAACTCTGTTTCTTTGAGCTGAACAAATGTTGCACAGCATAAACTCCAAATTGCAAACAATATTGAAGAACTGCAGTTTTCATAGATTCTCTGACAACAGAGAAAGTGCAAAAGCTGGGTTGCAGTTAAACATCAAAAAACCCAAGATTATGGCAACAAGACTGATTGATAACTGGCGAATAGAGGGAGAAAACATGGAGGCAGTGACAGACTTTGTATTTCTAGGTGCAAAGATTACTGCAGACGCATACTGCAGCCAGGAAATCAGAAGGCGTTTACTTCTTGAGAGGAGAACAATGACCAATCTCGATAAAATAGTGATGAGAAGAGACATCACACTGGCAATGAAGATCCACATAGTTAAAGCCATGGTATTCCTCGTAGTAAGCTACGGATGTGAGAGCTGGACCATAGGGAAGGCTGAGTGAAGGAAGATAGATGCTTTTGAACTGTGGTGT